TAAATTCATTTAAATAATTTATTAAATATATTACAGGTAAATTTTTTATTTAAATTTTTTTTATTATAATTTCTAATAATAAAATTCTAATATTAATAAAAATTAAAAAATAACAAAATGGGCTCAGGCTCGAGCTCGTACTCGCCAAAACACCAAGTTCGGCTCATTTACACCCCTACATCCAACCGACCCGAGTTGATCAGCTTTTACCACATTTCCCTTTAAAGCTATTATATATTATTTACAATTTATTTCAGGGTGTGCAATATGAATAATTTGAAAATAATTCGAGTTTTATGAATAAATTAATTCTGCATAATTCCCTTTCGTGTGGTACAAAATATACCAAATCCCTATTCCTTAAAATAAAAACTTGAATGAAATTTCCTCCTATAATTAACGGTGTTAGTTATTAAAGGAAAAAATGATTTCGTGCAAAAACAAAATGAGTTTCATGGTGCCCGAAGGCCGAAACTCTGAAGTAGGGATTTTTAAAAATAATTTCTTATTTTAGGGATGTGTTTGTTGAGTGCATATACCAGCTAGATGAGAGGCTGTCCTAATTTGTGGTTGTGAATTTGTAATAATAATAATAATAATAATATCTCAATAGGCTTGCACTAGCTATATATATAGCTTTTCCAGAATATATAACAGATTCGAAGAACCGTAGATATACAGCTATATATATATATATATATATATATATATATATATATATATATATATATATATATATATATATATATATATATATATATACACCAAATATAATCGGAGCAACTAATAATAAAATTATGATATACTAACTAAATTACAGGGCTATGAAATGACACACTACTCTTGGTTGAATATAGAGATTGTGTTATAATATTTTGTGTAAATTACAACTAGCTCTTTGATGTAAAATGTAATTACGGAAAAACTTTTACTTTTGCAGTTTGTAAATTTCTTATTTCCACCCCTACTAAAGGGTGTTGATGTTAACAAATATACAAATTGCAAGGGATAAATGTAATTATGAAAAAATGATGTGATTTTTTTGTAAATAGCACTTATATGGTTAGATCTACACTATCGGTTTTGTGGCACATGCTGTGGACGTAATTCCACGTAATTCCGCTGCTGAATGTATATATTATAAAGGCTCCTTCGACTCTACACCTGGTGATAAACACCGAGTAGGTCTTCTGTTGTCACGTGTCTTTTTTTTTTCTAAAACCACTAAAGGTAAACCCTTGTGAGGAAATATATTATAAAATACAAAAAAATGACACGTGGCAGCAGAAGACTCACCCGATATTTATCGCATGTGAGGTCGAAGAAGTCGTATTATATATTAGTTAGATTCATATTTATGAATAGGATTCCACTGGAAAACATTCCTTTTATTTTTGGGTTCCCACCGGATAAGCAATAATTAAATGTCAGAAGAAATGATGACTAGCCTTTTATCTTTCATTTTTCGTTTCACGAAAATAAATTCTTGCCTTTCGGTATTTGTCATATTTTAATGATATTCCATCGAAAATAATTTATGAATTATATCGTAGAGAAGCAAATAAAGAAACTGAGACAAGAGTTCTGATGAAGCTATATTTACATTCAACACACCTATCTCCATACTGTGTAACCAACCCTTCCATCACTACAGATCGAAACGACGGGAGACGAAAACAAAAAATATATATGAATATTTAAGCATTATCGATATCGAAATCCAAGTCCAAGCTAATGCTGTGATATACCCTAATATCTAAAACCTTATACGATGCAGAATAACGATTTACAATTCGTCACGTATCAGTTTCTACCACCCGTATATAGGATTCTCTACGTGCGGAGGCAAGAGACGAAGATCTTTACAGTGCTGTTTATCATAATCCCTCGTTCCCGGGGTTGCCCCTGTGCACAGCCTAAGAAACTCATTTCCTGTGAGACAGTAATGCGCAAACGCAAGCCCTCCATCGACTAGTTCGTTCAGGTTCGGCATCGAGGCCGATTTGGTCAGACCGCTATTTCTCCTACCGAAACGTCTGTCGACACCTGAATTGCTCAGAATCTTGTCGAGGTCGGAATATTCCATGAATCTTTGCGTGGCCGCTTCCCAAGAAAGGTTGTACCTTTGCTCGGGGGTGAGGGGCTGAGGTTCGTTGGCCATGGCTTCTTTGACTTTTTCGACAAAGTCTTCGGGGGTTTTGTAGGTCAAACAGTTGGGGAATTCCCTGAAGAAGTCGTTCGATGGGTGGTCAGCACAAACGACGAATTTTCCCATTGCGAGAGCCTCTGCTGTAGCTGTGCAGAGCACGTCGCTCACGCTTGGATTTATGAAGATTTTGTAACTGCAGGGCAAATAATTTGAATTTGTCAAACAAGGAAAAAAATACTAATAACAACATGAATGAAGTTAATGCTTAAATTTATCTACTTATATGCATTTATTTCACTATAGAGAAGGTCAAAAAAAAATGAAGGAAACTAACCCTTGTAGAGAATCGTCCGCATGGTCTCTGCCTTTCATAAAGTTGAGGCTCAAATTTAGCCTTTTCGCAGTGCTCTGGACTTCATGTGCATCCTCTCCGTTGCCATATACATCCAAGTTGAATCCATCGAGGTCCTTTTTGTGCTTCGATAACAAATCTATCAACTCTTTGTACCCTTTTGCCCATACCATCTTACCTAGAAAATACGCTCCCTTCGAAAAAGTCTGCTCTCCACGCTCCTTTTCTGCAGCTACTTTTTCTCCAATCCTCAAGAATTTGGGATTTACACCATGAACATTGCAAATCACAGACTTCGGTAAATCCTGAGTTGCAGCTGATAGACGAAGGACCTATACGAACGATAATTACAGTCATTTACAAGTTTCGTTTTATTCTTTTTAAATTTCTATAGTTGAAAATATAATGGTAAAGGAAAACTACGGAAAACTACCTTGTGACAGTATGCTTTCACAACCCAATTGTTTATGTGTTTAACGAGAAAAGCTTGGAGAGCGCCATTCTTTTCTCTCTTGATGTATTCCAGGTAATTTGTGTGAACAACGCCGACCACATGATTGAATTTATCGGTCCAGCGTTTACCATGATGGTACCAGTTCAGATGTTCCGGTTCTTCTAGAATTGCAATGTCAGCATCCTTCGACGAAATGAACTGAGACGTATCTCCAGCTGGTATAATACTCCGCCTTGCTTTTGAGAACTGGGACAACAAATTAGAGTGTCAAAACAACGACCCAAACTTCCAAACATATTCATAAACTATATGGCACGAGACAGAAGGCCCGATTCAAAAGAAAACAAATTTATCAATAAAATCTACCTTTCCAGGGTAAAAGGAAATATTAAAGTCAGCTTTAAAGCCAACCCTTTCCTCGAGCCAACTTCGTATATAAGATTCTTGCTCCTCTGGGGAGCTGAAAGTGAGGTTATTTGGATAAACAAGCTCTTGATCGGATCTACAAAGCCATGGAACCAAAAGAGTGACATTCTGCTGAGCGGATTTCGCTAAATACGCTGCACGGAATAGTGGATTGACAGCTGTTCCTGTCATCCAAGGAAGGCTGGCGGTGGTGACAATGGCAACATGCCTCTTTTTGTCCGACACATCGTGTTTTCCAAAGTCACTCCAAAATCCATTCCAAAAGCCACCTTCGTAACAGTGCCCTGTACTCTGGACAACACTGGCTAGCCTTATATCCAGCTCATCATTGATGTTCTCACTTTCAATCATAGATGACTCTCCTGCAGGTAAGGAACGTAGCAGAAGTTGGTTTTTGCGTTTGCTGCACAAGCTTTCCACTATCTTGTCAGATATGCCTGAAAAATATTATGAAGTGAGAACAAAATTTAACTGACAACTGAACAAAGGTAAAACCTAAATACGACCCTCATTGTTTAGTAAGATATCACTGGGTCACATTTAGTGATCTCGAATCACCCTGGGACAGGACAAAATTGTAAGTTTTTTAGCTTGCAAGAAAAACATTGCACCCTGTGTTCCCTCTTTAAGCAAGAAAAACAAACCCCTTTTTCTAAGAACCATCTGGACACAATTTCCTGGCAGAAATTATCTGATTACATTCCATTTACCACAAAATGCAAGCTGCTGCAGTTTCATATATATACCCATGGCGGGTTATAAGAGCAGACCAGACATTGCATAAAACAAAAGAATACAGAAGTATCTGACCATGGATTTTGAACTATTTGAATTTGACAGGTAAAATCAATTAATCATTGGCTAGGTCGAGAAAATGGTTAGATGTAGGAACAGTATGCAAATGACAGAAATCATTGCATAGGAACCGCATACCTTTATTAATGCCAAATTGATCCAGTAAGGGGCTAGACTGCCTCACCAAACACGCCAGCAATTCTGGTACATCAAGGGGTGGAACTTCCTAAATAAAGGTCAGGAGAAAATAGAAATAATTTAGTAAATAGGTGGAAATAACTTAACCGATAACAAGATATGTAGATGGAATTTCTCCGAGTTTTAAGTTCTGTAGATTCCTCCCTTCTTTTTTTATTAATTGACCATACATGTCATGTGCCGTTCAATTATGATTGTGAAACATCAAGTAAGATCTCGGAGATTTACAGCTACAGCAATTTATTAAGCAATTCTAATTATTTCTGATACTAATTCAATGTCTTAATCGTTTTACATTTTTCCTCATCTCGTCTCTTCCAGATGATTCAGCAGGTATTATTGAGATCGCACGCATATAACACAAATAATAGAAATACATCTCGGAATACCGTGTGGGCCACAAATAGATAGAATAACAGACTAACCTTTGACTCATATGGATCCTTGCAAATTGCTTTCTGCAAAAGATAATTTGAATGAGAAAAGAAAAGAAAATCAGTCCAGCAAAATCAAATGTCAATTCCAATACCACAACATATATATATATACATAAACGGAAAGCCCTAAACAGACCATGTCGCCTGGAAACATTTACGTCCCAAAAAAATCTGTCTTGACATTCAAATACTAGATTGTTTCAATCAAATGATTTGTGTCTAAGATTCTCAGGGGTATATTCTTCACCACTAAATTATACAAACCCAGCTTCTGTCAAGGAGACAACAGTAGCTAATTAGAGAACAACCTATCTTCCGTTCATTTTTATTTTTTAAACTTCACGGAATCAAGGGAGAAGTGATATTAATTTCTGAACAGCAAATTTAGCTCAACTTATTATATAACTTCAAAATGGTAACAGTATATAACCTAAAATCTACATACTTGCAAAATGAAACTCCGAAAAAAAGTATCCAATTTTACTCTGGCAAAACCAATTTCAGCGTATGGCTTATTTTCTAGTTCGCAATAAGACCGACTTTGCCTGCTGCGGTCACAGATAATTTTGCTGCCTATTAGGAAAAAAAATGGCAGAAAGTATGTGTATACCTAATCTCAAGAACATGAATCAACTATATAATGAAAAATTCAAATACCAAATACTGCTAGAAAAAAGTACAATGAAATGCATACCAGGCTAGACTTGACTTTCTCGACGAACTCACTATTCTTAATCCCCTCCAGAATCTCACTGGAGCTCTTGTTCTCCAATTCCCTCAACCTTGATTTTATAGTCTTTATTGGTTCCCAGAACTCCCCAAATTGCCCCTCCTCTCTCGCCCTCTCCTTAAACCTCACCCTCGTCGTAGTACTACTATTCGTGAACCTATCACTCTCATCCTCCACTTCATCCTCGCCCACCTCAGCAACAATCGCGTTCCTAATCGAGGACAAATTCACCTTAATCTGCGGCCGAGGGTAGAACTTGAAATCCGGCGACGAATACGCCCTCCTGATTTCCGATAATTTCGGCTGGAGCTTCCTGACGAAGTCAATTTCAGCGTGGGGGGCGGGATTCAGGGTGGCGGAAGCGGTAATCGACGGAACACTGAAGGGCGATTTGGAGGCGGAGTTTAGAAAATTCTCGAGTTCTCTGTCGGCTAGGTTTTTGAATGAGTTGGCACGGTTTTTCAGCAACTGGAGATCGGCGTCGGCGGAAGAGCGGACCTCGCGCCACCCCTTCGATATGAAAGATAAGGCTTTCTCCGCCGTTACGGTAGAGCTGCCCGAGCCGTACAGCGTCGCCGTCGAAGAGGCTGACCGCGCCTCCGGCGGCTTGAAATTCATTTTTCCCCTCTTTTATATTTTATCTCTCCTCTTTTCTCCGATCGAGTTTTTTTTAGGGCCGCTGAATTTTTCTGATGAATACAAAAAAGGGTTGAATGGTGAAGAAGCTCTGTGGGGGGATTTTTAACGGCTAAGATATTGGTTTTACTTATGAGTATAATAATATATATTATATGTGAGAAATAAACAATGTATAAATATGCGAGGGAGTCGGGGTGGTAGAAATAAGTAAATAACTCGAAAATGGTGGGGGGTCTTGTACGCGGTTACCCTCGACGAAGGAGAGAGTGCCATGTGTGCACCACACGTAGGATGAACGGTGTTGGTTGATTCGGATTTCGGGGTGGTGATTTGGCGCCGTTTAATGTGATGAGCTGTGTGGTAGCACGTGACATGATAAGGGTTAATGGGGTCTTTGTCTTTATAAACAAGAAAATCAAAATTCTTTTGAGGCCCAAGACGAAAAAAAATATATTAATAAATATATAATAAATGAACAAACAAACAAAAAAAAAAATTTAATAATAAAAAATTGTTTAGTAAAATATTTTTTTTCTATATGAAATCGTATATTCCATTTTTACAAGTTAACTAGTACTACACCCGTGCGATGCACGGGGTATTCACCGTAAAACAAATATTGAATAATAAAAAGGTTCTCGAAATAGTAAGATCAATTGTTGATATGTAATACAAAGAAGTAGAAAATATTAAAAAAAAAATAGAAAACTAATTTGTATGGAGTAAGTGATGAAATAAGCCGAAATAAATGAAAAAAACTAAACATCGAAGGTTTTAATTTCCTCACAATAAGAACGAATATCGTTGGTCCCAAACTTGTACAACCATAATAACATATGAACGTTAAAATCTTGAATTTGATCCAAACAATCACTGTTATTTTGTTTGACACGCATGCAACAAATCCAATACAATGCAATTGACCTGCATATGCTATACAATGATAAACATGTTAACAACTCTATTCCAAGCAAAATGGCCCGACGTACAAATAAATTTTGCTATTTTAGGAAACTTTTAGAAAATTCATATCAATTCATATAAACATCTGATGATGATTCTACCACTTGGGTTTTTTCTAATATTGCGAAATCTATAACAATTTTGGTTCAACTCATTTACGCATTTTTCCAGCAAAATGGTCGGTTTTCCTAACTTATTAAGGTTTGTTTAGTTTTAAATGCACGTTAACAACTCTATCCCAAGCAAATGGCCCGACCAACAAAACTCATGACCGTAGCTCATGAATCGCGTAAGATTTCGGTGATCCGACGTCTTTGCAACTCACAAAAATTAAATTTTACTATTTTAGGAAATTCTGGGAAAATTCATATCAATTCATATAAACATCAGTTAAGGATTCCGTCAGTTGTGTTGTTACTTCTAAAATTCCGAGATACATTAGAATTAGGTTTTAGCTCATTTTCGCATTTTTTTTGCAAACTGGCCGTTATCCAGGTTTATTGGGTTTTTTTTTATTATTAATAGCACGTTAACAACCCTATCCCAAGCAAAACGGTCAGACGAACAAAACTCATGAGTTAGGCTCATGAATCGCGTCACATTTTGGTGATCCGACTTCGTTTCGACTCATATAAATCAAATGTTGCAATTTTAGAAAAGTTTTAGAAATTTCATATCAATTCATATAAACATATGATGATGATTGTGTGAGTTGGGTTGCTTCTTATACTGCGAAATCTAATAGAATTTTGGTTCAACTCATTTTCGCATTTATCCAGCAAAATTATCGTTTTTCCCAACTTATTAAGGTTTTTTTAGTTTTAATTGCATGTTAACAACCATATCCCAAGCAAACGGCCCGACCAACGAAACTCATGACCGTAGCTCATGAATTGCGTAAGATTTCGGTGATCCGACGCCTTTTCTACTCACAAAAATCAAATTTTACTATTTTAGGAAATTCTTAGAAAATCCATATCAATTCATAGAAACATAAGATGTAGATTCCGTCTGTCGTGTTACTTCTAAAAGTCCGAGATAAAATAGAATTAGGTTTTAACTCATTTTTGCATTTTCTGTAAAATGGTCGTTATCCCGATTTATTAGGGTTTTTTGAGTATTAATAGCACGTTAACAACCATTTCCCAAGCAAAGCGGCCCAAAGAACAAAACTCATGAGCTTTGCTCTTGAATCGCGTAAGATTTCGGTGATCCGACGGCCTTTCGACTCACAAATATCAAATTTTACTATTTTAGGAAATTCAAATCAGTTCATAGAAACTTCAGATGAGGATTCCGTCATTTGTGTTACTTCTAAAATTCCGAGATACATTAGAATTAGGTTTTAACTCATTTTCGCATTTTTTCTGCAAAAAGGTCGATCGTTATCCCAATTTATTAGGTTTTTTTAGTATTAATAGCACGTTAACAACCCTTTCCTAAGCGAAACGGCCGGACAATCAAACCTCATGAGCTATGCTCATGAATCGCGTTAGATTTTGGTGATCTGACTTCGTTTGGACTTATAGAAATCAAATTTTGCTATTTTAGGAAAGTTTTAGAAAAATCATATCGATTCATATAGATATCCCATGATGATTCTCTCAGTTAGGTTGTTTATAATATTGCGAAATCTAATATTGGTCGGATCATTTGCTTGGGATAGGGTTGTTAACATGAAATTAAAAAAAAAAAAAAAAAACCTTAATAAGTTAGAAAAAACGACCATTTTGCTGGAAAAATGCGAAAATGAGTTGAACCAAAATTCTATTAGATTTCGCAGTATAAGAAAAAACCCAACTGGCACAAACATCATCAGATGTTTATATGAATTGATATGAAATTTCTAAAACTTTCCTAAAATAGCAACATTTGATTTATATGAGTCGAAACGAAGTCGGATCACCGAAATATGACGCGATTCATCAGCAATGCTCATGATTTATGTTCGTCGGGCCGTTTTGCTGGGGAAATGGTTGTTAACGTGCTATTCATACTCGAAAATACCTAATAAACCGGGATAACAACCGTTTCGCAGAGAAATGCGAAAATGAGTTAAAAATAATTCTAATATATCTCGAAATTTTAGAAGAAACACAACAGACGGATTCCTGATATGATGTTTTTATGAATTTATATGATTTTTCTAAGAATTTCCTAAAATAGTAAAATTTGTTTTTTATGAGATGAAAATACGCCGGATCACTGAAATCTTACGCAATTATGAGCTACGATCATGAGTTTTGTTGGTCGGGCCGTTTGCTCGGGATAGGGTTGTTAACGTGCTATTAATACTCAAAAAACCTTAATAAACCGGGATAAGGTCCATTTAGAAGATAAATGCGAAAATGAGTTAAAACCTAATTCGAATACATGTCGGAATTTTAAAAGTAACACAACTGTTGGAATCCTCATCTGATGTATCTGTGAATTGATATGAGTTTTCTAAGAATTTCCTAAAACAATAAAATTTGAGTTTTGTGAGTCAAAAAGACGTCGGATCACTTAAATCTTACGCCATTCATGACCTATGGTCATGAGTTTTGTTGGTCGGGCCGTTTGCATGGGATAGGGTTGTTAACGTGCAATTAAAACTAAACAAACATTAATTAGTTGGGGAAAACGACAATTTTGCTTGAAAAATGCAAAAATGAGTTGAAAAACTCATGACCGTAGCTCATGAATCGCGTAAGATTTCGGTGATCCGACACCTTTTCTACTTAAAAAAATCAAATTTTACTATTTTAGGATTTTTTTTAGAACATTCATATCAATTCATAGAAACTTCAGATGGGGATTCCGTCAGTTTTTGTTACTTTTAAAATTCCGAGATACATTTGAATTATGTTTTCACTCATTTTCTCATTTTTCTGTAAATGGCCGTTATCCCGGTTTATTAGGGCTTTTTTGAGTGTTAATAGCACGTTAATAACCCTATCCCAGTAAAATAGCTCGACGAACAAAACCCATGAGCTCCGCTCATGAATCGCGTCAGATTTCGGTGATCCGACTTCATTTCGACCCATATAGACGAAATTTTGCTATTTTAGGAAAGTTTTTGAAAATTCATATCAATTCTATTAAACATCTGTTGATCATTATGTCACTTGGGTTGTTTTTTTAATATTGCGAAATCTAATAGAATTATGGTTCAACTCATTTTCACATTTTTCCAGCAAAATGGTCGTTTTTGCCAAATTATTAAGGTTTTTTTTAGTTACAATTGCTTGTTAACAACCCTATCCCGAGCAAACGGCCCGACCAACGAAACTCATGACCGTAGCTCAAAAATCGCGTAAGATTCGGTGATCCGACGCCTTTTCTACTCACAAAAATCAAATTTTACTATTTTAGGAAATTCTTAGAAAATTCATATCAATGCATAGAAACATAAGATGTATATTCCGTCTGTTGTGTTACTTCTAAAAGTTCGAGATACAATTGAATTAGGTTTTAACTCATTTTCGCATTTTTCTGCAAAATGGCCGTTAACCTGATTTATTAGGTTTTTTTTAGTATTAACAGCAAGTTCACAATCCTTTCCCAAGCAAAACGGCCCGGCGAACAAAACTCATGAGCTGTGCTCATGAATCGCGTCAGATTTCGGTGATCCGACTTCGTTTCAGCTCATATAAATCAAATTTTGCTATTTTAAGAAACTTTTAGAAAATTCAGATCAATTCATATATACATCCGATGATGATTCTATCGGTTGGGTTGTTTCTAATATTGCGAAATCTAATAGAAATTTAGTTCAACTCATTTTCGCATTTTTCAAGCAAAATGGTTGTTTTTCCTAACTAATTAACGTTTGTTAGGTTTAATTGCACGTGAACAACCCTATCCCAATCAAACAACCCGACCAACAAAACTCATGACCGTAGCTCATGAATCGTGTAAGATTTCGGTGATCTGACGTCTTTTCGACGCACAAATATCAAATTTTACTATTTCAGGAAATTCTTAGAAAATTCATATCAATTCATAGAAACTTCAGATGAGGATATCGTCATTTGTGTTACTTCTCCGAGATACATTAGAATTAGGTTTTAACTCATTTTCGCATTTTTTCTACAAAATGGCCGTTATCCCGGTTTATAAGGTTTTTTAGAAATTTCATATCAATTCGAATAAGCATATGATGATGATTGTGTTAGTTGGGTTGGTTCTTATACTGCGAAATCTAATAGAA